GACACCCTCCTCTCTTGCAGGCACGGCCGCCATCCCCTTTCCTTCTCTGGCTCCACCCATCACTCTGCTGGTGGACGGGAGGCAGCAGACGCTGGTGGTCTGCCTGGTCCTCGATGCGGCACCCCCTGGCCTGGACAGCCCCATCTGGTTCTCAGCGGGCAACGGCAGTGCACTGGACGCCTTCACCTACGGGCCCTCCCCAGCACCGGACGGCACCTGGACTAGCCTGGCTCAGCTTGCCTTGCCTTCTGAAGAACTGGAAGCCTGGGGGTCCTTGGTCTGCCACGCCAGGCCTGGGGCTGGGGGCCAGGGCCGGAGCACGCTCCCCCTCCAGCTGTCAGGTGGGGATGCAGCCTGGGGTTCGGTCCCTTTCCATACCCTGGAGTCAGAATGTGCTGGGGAGGGGAGGGAGGCGCCAGGCACCAGGCATGAAGGACGTGTAAGGGGAGACCCTGGCTCCCAGGAGAGGGGTTTTGAGGCCGTGAGTCCTGGGACTGACAGCTGTGATATGAGGCTCAGGTTTGCCCTTCAGCCTGTGTCCCAGCGTTTGGGAAACGGAGAGACAGGAGGATCAAGGCTATCCTTGACAAGTGAGTTCAAGGCCTGTTTGGGTCACGTGAAGCTCTGTTTCAAAACCAAAATTAGCCAGGCGGTGGTGGCTCATGCCTTTACTCGGGAGGCAGAGGCAGGTGGATCTTTGTGAGTTCGAGGCCAGCCTGGTCTACAGAGCGAGATCCAGGACAGGCTCCAAAACTACACAGAGAAACCCTGTCTCAAAAAAACAAGAAACAAACAAACAAACAAACAAAAAACAAACAAACAACCCCCCCCCAAAAAAGAACAAAACAAAAGCAAATCCAGGCTCTGATGTGTGATTGCTAAGAGATATTAATACCTTTTAATGGATTATTCATAAGTGCATATATCATATGTTTTATATATAATCTATATAAACAGTTCATATATACGTAAACAAATCCTGTAAGACCAAACAATAATTAAAGAATAAACCCCTATCACTGGGCAGTGGTGGTGCACGCCTTTAATCCCAGCACTTAAGTGGTAGAGGCAGGCAGATCTTTATGAGATCGAGGCCAGCCTGGTCTATAGAGATAGTTCAAAGCCAGCCAGGGCTACAGAGTGAGTTCCAGGAAAGCCAGGGCTACACAGAGAAACTGTGTCTTAAAAAAAAAAAAAAGAAGAAGAGCCGGGCGGTGGTGGCGCACACGACTTTAATCCCAGCACTCGGGAGGCAGAGCCAGGTGGATGTCTGTGAGTTTGAGGCCAGCCTGGGCTACCAAGTGAGTACCAGGAAAGGCGCAAAGCTACACAGAGAAACACTGTCTCGAAAAATAAAAAAAAATAAAAAAAAGAAAAGAAAAGAAACTCATCACTTTTACCAAGTTTATTCTATGCCAAGCACTGTCCTAAGTGCTGCTTCATTTCAAAGTTTGTAAAGATTATTATTTTGAAGTGTGTGTGTGTGTGTGTGTGTGTGTGTGGTATGTGGTGTGTGAGTGCATGTGTTGACACAACTAGACACTGGATCTTCACCACCATCCACCCCC